ACTGGTTAAATACTTGATGATTTAGCTGTACACACACCCTGGAGTCAGACCACCCGAGTCTGTGCTTCCATTTCTCTACAACTTTCTAGTTGTGGCTGCTTGTAATTGTTTTTCATTGCAGCCACCATAACAAATTATCGCAATTTTAGAGGTGCAAAACAACCCAAATTTATTATCTTATAGTTTAGTATGAGATATGGTATGAGTCTCACTGGGCCAAAACCAATGTATTGGCAGTGCTGGGGTCCTTCTTTCAGAGTCCAGGAGAGAAGGTGTTGACAGGCTTCAGTTTCATGTGGTTGTAGGACTGAGGTCTCTGTTTCCTTGCTGGCTGTTAGTTGAGAGCTGCCCTTAGCTCCTCTTGCTGGCCCCAGCTCATAGACCCCTATGTCTCAAAAACACGAATAAGGTACTTATTCCTTCACACACTGTCGTCTCTCTGACCCTGCTTCTACCACTGCATCTCTCTTTAACCCAGACAAGTAAGGTTCCGCTTTTAAGGGCTCAAGTGATGAGACTGGGCCCACCCAGATGATTCAGAATAATCTCTCCATCTCAGGGTCTTAACCTTTAGCTGATCTGCAAAATCCCTCTTGTCATGTGAGGTAGCATACAGGTTCTGGGGATTTGAAGGAGGACATTTTCTGGGGCCATTATCTTACCTACCATACCTCTCCCTTACTACTCACACCTCAAGTTCTTCTTCTCCAAAATGGAGCTTTGTCTACATACGGTTCTTGTAAACTATAGACGAGACAAACTCTTGGCACAAAGTAATCACTCAGAAAATGTTAGTTATCATCATTTCTATGTAGCCATTTAAAAAAAATTAGACAAGTTCATACTGTATAGCACAGGCAACCATATTCAATCTTATAGTAACTTACAATGAAAAAGAATATGAAAATAAATGTATGTATGTTCATGTACGATTGAAGCATTATGCTGTACACCAGAAACTGATACAACATTGTAAATTGACTATACTTCAATAAATATATATATATATATATATATATATGCAAAAAAGGAGGCAGAACCATATTACTGACATAGAAAAACGTTCACAAGATATATTTGAGGAAGGAAGGTACAGCTCAGTGGTAGAGTGTGTGCCTAGCATGCATGAGGTCCTGGGTTCAATCCCCAGTACTTTCATCAAAAAAATAAATACATAAGTAAACAATCTAATTACCTCTCCTCAGCCCCCCCACAAAAAATGAATCTAGATATATTTGAGAAAAGTAAGCTACAGAACAGTGTGTATAGTATAACTGCTTTTCTTATAAAAAAAGGAAAAGTGACACTTGTATTTGCATAGGGGATTAAATGTCTAATTAGATACCAAGAGACTGAGATTAAGGTGAGTAGACTTAGACTTTTTCTAATGATGCATATTTTAAAATTTAAAGTGGTAACAACATTAGGAAGATAGTGTTTATTGTCCAAAACAGTGTGGAAACAAAAAGGAAATACAGAAATGATTGCTTATAAAATAACAAGAAAGAAGAAAAAAAGCACTGAAAAAAAAACGTTGGTAAGTAAAACATTCCAAGTAAGATGCAAAAAATAATCCCAAACATGTCAATAATAATCACAATAAATACGAACAGATGATATCTGTTTATTAAAACACAGAGATTCTTCAACTGGAGAAAATTAAAAATTCCAGATGTGTGAAGATATCATTTAGGTAAATTTTTAAAACACAAACATTAATAAATACATTGATTCTGGAAAAAAATTCCTATTTAGTAAAAGTATAGGAACAGAGGTGGGAAGTAAAAGCATCGATTTCAGGACTGTGGTTGCCTCTAGGCAGAAAAGAAAGGAAATAGGGAAAGACAGGGTTACACTTATCAATTATATCTGTAATATTTTATTTCTTTCTAACAAAAATTATCAAAACATATAGGATAGGGACATTTGTCTTTAAAAATTCTGGCTTTTTATATTCTGTAATTTTCTGTGCATATAAAATATTTTAAAAATTTTATAGAATTGCACTTAGAAGTTAGAAATAGGAATTATGTCCTGATGGTACATGTATTTTGGATTCTAGGAAAAAAGTTAAAAATTTTAGCAATAAACATAAAATTAGAACAGACAGATGAAAATGTATTTTCTCTTTGTGTCCATCAGTTAGGGTTACCACCTACTGCACACTCACACTAACTTAAGGATGATACTGTTTGGAAATGCCCAAAATATGTACCTTAAAATGTTTAAGAAGACTTAAATAGAAACTTACATACAAATTTAGTAGTTCATAAATGTTATCAAGAAATAAAGAAGCAATTGGAATAGTGATTAAATTTTTCAGAGAAATTTAATTTTGAGCCAGATTCTGAAGGAAGAGAGCTTCATGGATTTCTAAGAGGGGACAAATTCAGATGGGAAAATGGACTGTGCCAAGGCACAAAGGGACCTCATCGGGGGAACACAGGGGACAGCAGTAGATGAAGGTGGTTAGAGCAAAACTTCCTTCCTGAAATTCTGAAGTGCTCTGGAAACAGACATAGGCATTTACATGGACATCAACACAGAAAAATGTCAATATACAATTAAATAGAAGATTTAGGCTACCAGAAGAATAGATCTGACATCAGATTTAAATCGACTATAACAACCACATTCTTCTCTATATATTTGCTGGAGCCAATGGAGTCCAACAGAGCCGCAACTTTTAACTTTATGTAAATGTAAAAGTTCATCTTTATGAACTGCTTTTCAAGAAAAAGGGGAAGTGCTGATGGAAAACCATGAAGGAGCCTCAGTTCCTTCTCTGTTGGAAGTGATGGGATGACCTCTCTCGGGTTACATACAGTTATTTAATAGGTGAACACACACAAACAGCCTCCCCTCAAGAAAGGAAACTCTATTTTGAAAATATCCCACCTAATGCCATCAAAATATTCTAAAGTTGGGCTGAATTCCTTTCTGCCTTCAAATTAATTTGCATGAAAGGCTCACCCTCAGTGTACTGGGAGGATGTAGGTGGCCATGATTACTAACAGGAAACTTGAGTTAATCCAGATCTTGGGAGTTAGCAGCACAGTTTCCTGTGACCCGCCTGGTCGATCAGCAGGTCCTGCTGTCTCTGCCTCCCCATCCTGACAATGCTGAGGCAGCTCCCCTGTGGCCCCCCTACCACACGGCTGCCGGAGTGTCCTCTCTCCCTCTCTGTCTCTCTCCCTCTTTCTCCTGGCCAATCCAAACAGATCCCCATCACGCTTAGTCTTCCCCAGGGAGCCCCACACTGATATGTCTCTGCAAGTTGTGCGATGGGTCATGGGCCACATGTCACTGATGATAAAGCTCCAAAGATTCCAACCACCCACTTTCCTCAGCCTGTTTTCTAGAAAGCCTTTCCCTAGTCACTCAGTCACCGGCTCAGCTGCCTGCCCAACTCCTGCTCCTGCACGTCTCAGCTCAGACGCTCTCTTCCCTGTGGACCCATATTCCTGACTTCCCCCACCAGCTCACGTTCTTTAAAGCCTTGCTGCGTTTTGTATAGACTCCCACATGAGACTTGCCTCGTTTGATGGCAATTGTTTATACAACTGTCTCCTACTCCACTGTAAGCCCCTTGAGGACAGAGATTATGCCCCAGTTCTCTTTAAATTTGCCAGTAAACAGCAGCTCCTGGAACACTTCAGGGACACAGTGAACATTAATGGATGCTGAATGAATAAATTAGTACTACCACTGATACATGGTCAAGAAATTCCCCAGTTTATCAGATTACTGCCTCCCCCCATTTTCTGCTACACGTGGCAGGCAGCAGGGGAAAATCTTTCTCCATACTTATATCAAATAACTCTGTCCCATGAAGTCTCTCTATTTTGAGAATAAAGGTTGAAAGATTTTTTTTTCTTTTATAAAATTAAAGACTTTGATGACTGGTAAAGAGAAGCTACTAGATTCATTAGAGGAGATAGTGGTCTAGTGGTTCTTTCTATGCTCCTGTAACTAATCACAGATAAGTAGTTTAAACAATATTAGTATCTGTAAAAACCAATAAGGATGATGAGTTAAATCATAAAAATCTCATGCAATTTCTATTGTCTCCCATACGCTCAGTGCATTATTTCTAAATGGGAAAGTACAAATATTGGGATAAAAACATTTAAACTACAGAAACACAAAACTCCAAAAGCTAATCCTGCCTAAAGGGCAGAATTTAATTCTGTGCTAAACTACTGTCTGTGGGATTAAGAGGCGTGGTTAAGCAAACATTTGAGAACAAGTAATTACCATGAATCTCTCTATCACATATTTGTCTCACGCATAATTTATACAACAAGCCCACAGATGGGAAAAATAAAATGCTGTTTGAAACATTTTTTTCCAGCCACAAATTTTTCAGGCTTAAACTTTTTTTTTTTTTTGCCTTCATCAAAGATTATTTACTCCTATGGTCTTGGGTTGGACAGCAGTGGGGTTTTTTCTCGCTGATATAGACAAAGAAATGATATCTCTAACCTGCTGTTCCTGTCTGTGTCCTTCCAGCCAACCTCAGGCCTCTGAACGCGGATGTTCATGGTCGCTGTAGCTGGTGTTATGTCATGCTTTCAGAGTGGAATGGACATGCAAGGGAACACTTGTGTTTATTCACTTATTTGTTCATTCAGCAAGTATTTATGAGAAACCTACGTGCCCAGAATTGATACTGGGATCTCGGGATACCAGCGGACAAGACAGGGTCCCCACCCTTGATGAGCTCACAGTCAGAGACAATTGAACCCACAATTGCAGTGTAGAACGATAAGCCAGGATAGGAGGACACACCCGGAGCTGCAGGGATCTGGCACCTGTCTGGGATGGTCAGGGAGGGCTTCTGGCAAGACGTGTCCTCTAAGTTGCATCTTGACTGACCTGTAAGGCCCACACGATTAAAGGAGGGTAGGGAAGTGGAAAATTCTAAGCTAAGGGAAGAGCTGGGAGAGATCAGAGTGTGGGAGAGAAAGTGGGAGTAGATGAGGCAGGGTGGTGCTTACCGAGGGAGCAGAGCAGACGCTTACAGAGACACGGAGTCTGAGTCGTGAAATAAGCATTTCCTGTGCTCATAAACCAGCTTCTGTGGCCCTCCTCCCCGCTCTACCTGGGACACCTACAACAGAGAGGAGAGTGGATTGCTCAAGTGTATTTGAGAGAGACATTAAGCCTCCGGGCAGCAGCATCTTGGCTGGACTGATTCTGGCATTTTCTCCCATTTTAGCATTCTTACACGAAGCCAGGAGACGTGTGCTATCAAACCACGTGCAACTCCAGCCCAGCTCTGGCTGCAATGCAGTATTTGGCAAGAACTTGACCTGAGGCTAGGGATTTAATGTCATTGTGCCTCGGTGCCTTGTCTTTAGAACAGATTGCAGCGAGAATTAAATAAGTGAGTGCATGTAAAGTGGTCAGAACAGAGCCTGGCACAGAGCAAACGCCCTATAAGCATTAGCCATAATTATTTTACTCTGCATGTGGGACGTGTCAATGAAGCTGGTTGGCCAGTTACTTAAATAACCAGCTGGTCATTTATAGGAACTGGGCTCAGGAGTGAAGTTGCTGTTGTTTAATGTCTTTGGCACTAACAGGAGGTTAGGGAAGTTAACCCAGGAGAACAAAGGCTGAACTTCGGCAGTGGACTTTTTGGTTTACATCCAATCCCTGAACATTCCGTGTCCCTGTACTTACTGTATACTGAATGTCAGGCCTGAGGGTCAAAGATACCTGAGATGGACTGACGATTTATTATTCATTCAATACATGCTTAGAGGTAACCAGGTGGAAGTCACGGCTGAGGACAGACCCTCCAGCTGAAGGTGATACATGTTACAAAGAGGCACGGACAGTAAGAATCAATGCTTGCTTTACCCCAGGCTCTGCGCTAATGTCTCCCACCCGGATTATCTCAAAGTGCTGTGGGAGTTGATAGGATGGACGCATGGCTCCCAGCTGGGGTGATCAGGAAAGGCTTCACTGAGGTGGAGGCATTAGAACAGAATCTTAGAAAATACTTTACTTTTGGAGCCTTTTGCTGAGCCCTGCTTTTACAGTAGAACAGGTCCGGTGGCTTGTTTCTAAAGCTGCCTCTTGGTACAAAGACTCTTGTAAAAGAAATAGTCAATAAAATGGGATGGTTTCTACTAAAAACTCTCATCTCACCACAGAAGAGAACTACTACCAACCTAAGCACGAGTCCAGCTGTTGCCTAAACATGCACAACTTCTCATTCCATTGTCAAGCCCAGGAGGCATCTCGCCTGCGTCGCAGTCCCAATGCCACCTCTCCCTGAACGCCCCTCCTTTCCCACCAGTCACTGGGAGTCATGTTTGCAGCACACGCTGGGATCCTGTTCCTAATTATTGATTGTGTAATTTATTGATAAAGCAAAGCCAAATATGAGTAAGATGGAAAGCCTAACTAGAAATAAAGGACTCAGTGTCCCAACAAGGAAAATTCCAGGGCTTCAAAAATAGAAAATCAGTGATGCATAGTTTGAGGGCTTTGTCACTGAAGAAATAATCCAGGATTTAATAAGCCAGAAAATGGATTAAACAGATGGGGGAAAGTTATCAGTGGCAGCGAATGGGCACCTACAGAGAAACAGAATGATTTAGAACCCAAATGACGCCGGCACACACTCAACATTTAGTTGTGCCCTGAATGAATGTGACAGAAAATCTGGATGAAAAGGAAGATGAAATCGGCCGGGAAGAGAGAACACTGCACAGTATCGGCTGGTACAGGGATGCTGGAGCCTCTTTTTTGCTGGATTGATCAGCCCATTTAGCTAAAGAGTTGGTTTGTCTGATTTCTTTCCTTATGGAATTGATTACTTGAGTGAACCAACCAAAGCAATAACTTCAGCAGAGTGTGGAGACAGCTTCATTCTGAGAAGCTGACCCTTAAATACAGTTGACCCTTGAACAAGAGAGCTTTGAACTGTGAAGGTCCACTCATATGTGGATTTTTTTTGGCATTAATAAATACTACAGTATCACACAAAACCGAGGACAGGGAGCTGGTTGAAACCGAGGATCCAGAGGAAACCTGGATGCAGAGGGTGGACTTTAAGTTATACTTGGATTTTTGACCTCAGGGAAGGTCGGCACCCCTAACCTCCATGTTGTTCAAGGGTGAGCTGTGTGCAGAAAAACGTTTTTCATAACCAAGAAACCATCTCAAGGGTACACGTGTCTACATACCCTTGTCTGCCCACACCTGTCTGAATGTGCTTCTAATCAACTGATCGTTTACACTTAGGTCAGCTCAAAGGACCTTTATAGGACCAACTTAGTTTTGAGTGTCAGTGAGTTGCTGAATGATCCTTACCCCCAGATTATTTAGCCTCTCTTTTCTAATTATCATATTACACCACTAAAAGAATGATGTACACACACACCACACACACACACACACCCTCCACAATGAGACTGATCAGGACATTTTTCCATTTTCAAGAAACAGAGATCTGGAAATAAGTGGAAAACACAGCTTCTAAGCGATGGCATAACAAGTTACTATTTATACCTCATCTTCCATTCGTAGATGTGAACTAGGGGTCTTTCCCTGTCAGAGAATAATTTTAGGGAATGACTTTCCTGGTGAGCTCACAGTTTGACCCTGCTTGTATCACCATCTTGAGTCAGCAGTGGATAATGCTGTGCAGAATAAACTAATTTTAGTCATCTGTGAGATCCTTGTAAACACTCTATAGTGACTCTTAAAAGTCAGCGTGAACTTGCTATCTCTGCTTCATTTCCTGCTTCCAATAATCCACTAGGGGTATTTTTAGCTGATGACATCTTACAGGCCTTGTCTAGGTGAGTTTCTTGGTTTCAGAGCTGGCGTTTGAAAATTATGCCATAGCTTCCAAAGTCAAGTGGCCTCTGGTTATATGAAAAGTGGCAAACAAATAAGGCAAGAAAAGGACATGGAAATGTAAGTGTCCTATACATGCTACAGGAAAAGCACTGCCCACCTTACTTTTATTTTTAATATTTTCCGTGAGCCCCGGCCCACAGCTGCACTGGGCTGTACCTTTGGAGTGTGGAATGATCCCTCAGCTTCTTAATCATCTCGTTCTGTGATGAGCCCCTGGGCTCTGAGTCACATTTCTTTGGCAGTCAGTCACATGCCAAATTTAGAGCACTTCTAATTTGTTCAACATCCCATGGGTCACTGAGAAAGAATAGGGCTTGAGGACAAACTGCACTGGTCAGATCATCCACATCCAGATGTGTGATCACAGGTTATGACACCTGGACAAGAACTCATGTTTTTTGCAGTGAGAACTCTGTGGAAGAAAGACCTTGCACTCGGGCTTTGGGTTTCTGAGAAAGATGCTGGGTTTGGCTATGTTTACCAGGAATGTGGGAACCAAAAGGAGGGGCTGAGATGGGAAGAAGAGGATGAGGAGAATTTTAGGCAAACTCAACTCTTGAGGTTGGCAGTCAACAGCCCAACGGCCAGAAAGAAACATGAAGGGAAAAGTTTCTAGGTTTGTGAGTTCACCTTCTTGAAAAACCTTGAATCCTGGAATGTTTGATATCAGTGTTCTGGTCTGAAAAGAGAATTAGGGAACTTAAATGAAGTGTCTGGGAAGCAAAAGGAGGAGAGAGACTGAGGAAGGAAAGATGGGCAGAATCGGAAATATTACTAGGGAAAAAAGGGAAATGGTGCATCCTGAAATTATTTTTATAAGAAAGGCAGCTCATAAGAGTTCCAGGGTAGAATTTCTATCTCTTGAATTCGTTAAAAGTGACTTTGAGTCTCTTGGATTTGGGGGAGAGCCAAATCTTTGCTATAGGAAATTTCATTTAAATGCCTCTTTCCAAAGAAAACACATATGATACCAAGATACACAATCTATGTGTAGCTTCTCTGCACTGCTGGAAACTCGGCCCCACTGATTGATTCCTCTTTACTGACGATCACAGTGTCCTCGTTTACCCCTCCTAAAGCGAGTTTGATGGGCTCGCAGTTGAGTGAAGCAAGTCTTTCAGAGTAGAGGCAGCAGCCGCTGTCTGGCCGGCTGCCCATGAAAGGCTTCAGCAGGGTCTCTGTGAACCATGCAGGCAGTGCTCAGGCCGGATCCTAAGAAACTAACCTTTTGAGGAACGTTGTGTTAAAGAATGTCTGGAATGTGTTTAGTCCTGGGAGTTCCCGGGCAGCCTATATGGTCCGTGATGGAGAACGGGCAAAGCAGTGTTACAATGTTCAGCAAGACCGATGCAGATCAGAGAGCGATGAGGGGAAAAAAAAATCATTAAGATGAGGGATAAGATTGTCTCTTCTCAACCATTCAATGCGGCTTCAGAATTTCCTTCTGGAGTCCAACTGCATCACACAGTCCATTTACTGTAGTCCCAGGCTAATGAGAGGATAGGTGCTAAATAGGCTATAAATTTCAAACTAAAAAAAGTAGCAACTGCATGGAATTTTTTTTTTCATACTGTTTAGCTTAGTATATGAATGAGTGAACGCTGTTAAAACAGCAGCATAACTGCACCCTTGACTTTACGTTATTAACACGGTTATTTATGAGATGGGAAATTCTATTTCTAATTATATTTTAAAGATTTGCAATGTATTTAAAGGTTTTAAAAAATCTATTTATAGGTTAGTGTGTGTGCACATATACATGCATGTATATGAATATATTTTGCTTGAATGCCTCTTTTGTTTATTAGAACTGTGAATTTACTAAGGCTGAGGACATTGCTTTAATAACATTATTTAGTGTTTAAAATCATATTTAGTGTGCAGAGTGGTAATTTTTTTTACTTCTTATTTTGAATACTCTCCATCTTTAGATTTCACAGACTTTGTGTCTGCGTTCCACATTAAGAAAAACATTTAACATATATACATACATGTAAAAAAATAAATCTATTTAAAATTTTAATTCAGGACTCATGTGTATGTGTTTATATGCTATTTATATACATATAAATATGACCATGAAATAAAATCTACCCTTTCAAAGCGTGGTGCACTCTGGTATTTTCTATTCTATTTTTTCATTTGTAAAATATATCATCATGACCCATTTTATAAATTTCCCTACCCGCCAATGAGTCATGACCTAGAATTTGATAAACATTGTTTTACCTG